AATTTTAGAACTTGATAATGTAATATCACCAAAAGCAAACTGGTGATAATATTGTCCGAGGGCAACTTTATCGTACATATGTCTTTCCCATCTGATGATAATAGAAGTAAGCAGATCTGTAGAAGCACTTACGGGGAGCTGGGAGTTATGGAAAAGTCATACACAGCACATCTGCTTAAAACTATTTAAAGAATAACATTATGACTATTACATTAAATTAAAATGTAGGGTTTACAAAATGCATTGCTATGCATTTTAATCTGGCAGACACTGTAAGCATTGTATTTATTTGACCCCCCTTCTACCACCACCACTACAGATGAGAAATACTGTAAATGTCATTTGGGGGAGCTAAAACTGCAACAGTAATGCATGCCAAAGGTATATTCAAATCTCAAGATCTGACAGCATATGGAAATACATTTTTCTTAATACTTTGAATAATGGATTGAAAGCTTGGCGCCAGGAAACATCAGCCCAGAGTCCTCTTCCCCTTCTGCTCTCACACACCTGATCAGCGACACAGCTGCGTGCAGCAGAGCTCTTATTAAAATGTGTTGATGGGCCCAGCTATTGGCTGAGGGCAGGTTTCTATTCAGGCTTTTTTCTTTTTGGATGTTTAACCCCTTGCGTCCAGGTAGGCTTCTCCAGACAAAAGATGCGCTCATTCTCTAGAAGTCCAAATCATTATTCAGAACAAGGAAAGCTGATTCAATGAAAATGGTGTATTCATGGCTCTACAGTGTGCATATTATGGCTACATTAACGATAATGGGGAGTATATGGCCATAATTGGGAAAGTGATGAAAAGGGTAGCAAAATGCCAATGGCAACTCAGTGTGTTTCTTCTAAATAAACAGTGAAATATGTCAAGAAGAGGACACAAGTGGGAACTACCAGCAGATGCACTTAAAATTAAGAATAGGAGTATGTGAAAGTATAGAAGAGGCAATCCAGCTATGCTGCTGAAGATAAAACACTCGTTTCTTTCAAGAAAAGGCTTGATGAGATCCTTGGATCAGTTACCTACCAAAACTGCTAAATGGTCCAAATGCTCCTCCTCTCATTTGTTCTTATACCATAAGCAGGTAATGTAAGCATGTCTACTTGGGGCCCTTTTTGTTTTAATTTCCAGTCCTACTGTGAAATAGTGCCTTGTACATTTCTGATATCCCAGTGCCTGGGACGAAAAAGTGGCACACTAACTCGCACAAGAGGGATGATCTGAAATCAATCCAGTTATATAAGGCTGGAAACAGGAGAGGGACAAAATGACCTTTTCTGAATGTCACTTTCTGTTATTGTTTTTGTTTTTATCGACAGAGCTGGAGCTGCAGTGGTTGAGGAGCATCATTTCTGTAATCAATGCAGCTACTGAGGCTTGCGGTGCCACTGTTAAAAAGGGAGCACGCAGAGTTTGAGTTTAATGTGCACCCAAGAATGACTCTGTAGTAAATTATATATCTAGGGTTGATGCTACATTGCATGGTCGAGTGGGCTACCAAAAGAGGAATTATGGTATTCCACCAGTAATTTTCAGCTGCCCACAGTTTCAATGTCTAAACATTCCCATTTAATGCCCTCTCTTATTCATAAATGCAAGCGTTACGTTTACTGCATGAGACAATGGTGTAGTGAATAAAAGGTTCAATGGGGGGAAAAAACTATTGCAAAAAACACAATCTTTGCATACATTACATGTTCTGTCAGATTAAAAATACTGTTCGAACACTCTGGCTGCAGATAAATGGTGACAGTCGTGCCTATAACAGTCACATCTTTGGGTGTAAATTTGTCAATGGAATCGTACACTATTTAACATCATGTGGCACCCTGTGTATACATAAGAACGAGAAAAACTAAGACAAATGTCTTAAATACACAAGTCACTTAAATGTTAAAACTCCTCTTTATCCAAATGTGCTGAAAATACTCCAAACAGGACATGCGATAAACATGAAAGTCTTATTTTAAATGGAGAAATGTGTCCACTCTCTGACCAGGTTGACACTGGTTTCTTTGTTCAGGTTTCATAAGCCAGATGGAAGCAAAGGAGCACCTTATGGCTACCTTAAGCAGCTCACCCACGGCTCTCAAGAGCAGAGGGCAAAATAACCAGCGCCACAGGTATCTTACCTCTTAGCTGTGCTCATGAAGGTAAAGGCTATTTGGAAGCTGGTTTTGGACATGATCTTACCCGCACACTGAGGATAGGCCTACACAATTCCAAATGGGGGGTCAAAAGCAAGTTCACTTCACTATTCCCAGACAAAAGGGTTGCTTGAAAGCTACTCCTTCTTCTCTATACTCTTCCACTACCTTCCGTAAGGATGAAAATAAATATTTTATATTGCGACTTCCATGATACCATTTCAAGGTGCTTTCCAATAAAACAAAGCAAAAATATTTGAAACACACGAACACGCACCATAACAAATGAAGCAATTAAACACTAGGCTATAAAGGTAATTTTTTAAACAGGATTTTTTTGATTAGGTCACTCTGGGAGATGAGAGGCTGGGAGATCATTCTCCTACACATCTTCGGAGGAACGGAACAAACAGCACAGCCTCCCAAGGAACATGGCCTTGTACTGGGAACAATCGGAAGGCCAGAGTCCAAGGAGCACAAGTGTGCACATGGAGTTTACAGCTGAAGTCAAGAGCCAAACCATTCAAACCCTTAAAGATGACTCCATCACCAGAGAGCGAACTCTCTTCAATAGATTTAATTAGTAGCCTGCACTATATTATAAGACGTAGACATGTGTTTTAAAATAATGCAGTCAACTGCTTGGGCAGAGATTACCAGTGGGTTTTTTTATATCACTGAAAGGGACAGAAAAAGCCCAGAGAAGGGGGTGGGCTCTTATCAACTGAGCAACAAGAACAGTGGCCAACACTGACAGGTGAGTAAAGGGACTTATGTCTACACCTGGGTTATTTACTTTCACTCTTGACCTACTCAAACAATTATAGAGAACTAACTTTCATGTACCTGGAGTACCCAGTTTTACTGTAGGGACTTTAGTGGGGGCAATCTTAGATAAGTAACTAGCTTCAGGGTGCAATAGGAGCTCCCTGTCTGGGACTGAAACCCACAACACCCACTGCAGTATCCAGAACCCTCATCACTACTCAGCTGCCACTCAACACCAGTTAACACAAGTACCCTTTCCTCCCTTAGCAGGTACACATCGTGCACCATAAATCAACACGTTTCTGGACCTTCCCATTTCCTGCTTGAGCTTGACTCATTTGTGTACTCGGCAGGGTGTGTGGGAATCCGATAACATGGTGTGTGACAAGTCATACAGTAATTACTTTCTATTACAGTTCGTAATTCTCTGAACCAATACCCAGGAGTTTAAAAAAAGAACCTGCTTCTGGTCCCCCCCAAAAAAGGGTGCTAATTGCATTTAGCACGACCGATTAAGTTACACTAGTTAGACAAAAATGACCGACAATGTCCTGAATTAGGTTACTAACGAATGGAATCGTCTTTCATTCCTAACGTTTGCGTATCTATTTAATTACAATGCAGGGTAAACTACCGTGGCGCCAAGGACAGGAGACACTTCTGTCGGAAGATAACGCGCGTTTTCCAGACCTTTAATGCGCACTTAAAACGGGGGTGTGAACCTGGCCAGTGTCTCCTGTGATCCTAATGACATTAAAGTGTAACAGCGATCCTCGCAGGGGGGGAGGGGGTACTGTTTTGCATCCTGCTGACTCTCAAGGTGCGGCAGGTCCAAGCATGAATGGAGGAGGCTGAAGGTTACCGCATTTGTGAATGACCAGGGTCATGTGACCGCCACCGCATTGTTCAAGAACACACCCACCCCTCCTCATGCCTGTAACTCAACGTGCGTTCGCGTTACCCATTAAACTGAACTGGACCGGACTGTGCCCATCACTCCACGGATTTCAATGATGCACAGATGCACTCTCTTAGGTTAAAAAAAAAACAATCGGAGAACGTCAGCTAACGTTTTCGAATAAAAGACACCCAACATATCTTGTCGCGCAAACCCTTTAATGACGTTTTAACATGCGTAGAATATTACAGTAGAGTCTCTTCCATTAATGCTACACTGTGAAAATAAACGCAGAAGTGTGATGTGGGTATTTAAGTTTCGGGTTCACTGTCCAAAGACCATCATTGTCGGGATCCGTCCTACAGCGGCATTATGAAACATTCAGGCTGAAGCAGCAAACCGTGCGTCTTCCAGCAAAATGAAAAAGGTGTTTTGGTTTTAAAAGTCAAAACTGCTTCCTGTAAACAGCAGCCCCCCCCGATATACACACCACCACACACACACACCGCTCCTCCGGGTCGCGTTTTTATGAATGAGTGCGGTATGCAAATGAGAGCGATTCAAGAAAAGAAATGGCGGATATTGCCTATCAGTTGATTCACTTCCACGGAGAGAAAGCCCCTTTTCATGCCTCGTCTTTGTCAAAACAAACACCACAAAGCCCGCAGGAGCGCCTGCCCTCTTCCCCGCACCTCGGCGCGCCGCCCGCTCCGCCAAGACGCACAACACAACCCGCAACGACAACAACACGGCGTCGGCGCCTGCACAGCGACCCGCAGGTCGTCCGCCACTTTCCTACGAAACCAAATCTGTTTACCGTTTATCCCTTTTTTTTCCACCAAATGTTTCCAATCCACCTCCACCCTCTCTGCCCCCCTCCTCTCTCTCCGCTCCGCTCTGAAGACTCGCTCTATGACAGAGAAAGAGGCCCGATCTTCCCCCTCTTCCCTGTCATGCCTGCGGCAGCACAAAGCTGTTCCCAACTCCGGAACAGTGCCGCAACTTGGCCAAACTTCACTTCTCCGAAACGCAAAGCCCAACAGCAGATGCAAAGTCGCAAGGAGAGCTTGACTAACAACCCCACCACACCACACCACACCACACACAAGACACACACCAGCTCCAGCTCCAGTGCAAAATCCACAAACAAGGGGGAAAAAAAAAGAAACAGCAACCAACTTACTCGTCTGGGTGTGTTTCTTCGGTCATTTTCTCTTTTCACCTACAATAATTTCCCACAGCGGGTGAACACTCGGCGCTCTTCATTTTCCTCTCTCCGGTGTTTTTCACATTGTACCGGTTTTCCTGTTGCTTTCTTGTTGCTGTTTTGGATGTGCAGGTCCACCGAATGTGTGATTTCCCCCCACACACGTTTCCGTTTCCCCCTCCACCACCTCCTCCTCCTCGTCCTCGTCCTCCTCCTCCTCCCCTTTTTTTCCGCCTGCCGTGCTGGAGTGTGAATTTGATTACCGAAAGCCCGTCGTTGTGAGTGTGCGGTGATGTTGCTGAGGGTGGCCCCGTACGAGCCCCATCTCCTGTTACTCCATGTTGGATTCTCTCGGCAGCAGCGCCGCCGACACGGGAGGAGGAGAAGCAGGGCGGAAGCGATGACGTCAGCTTAGCAACCAGCTCGACTGCGGGCCGCCCGCCCGTGTCAAGAGACTGGAGAGCCGTAACCGTCCGCGGCAGCTCGTCGTCCGGGACACCTCTTCATGAAATAGTGCTAGGCTGTCGTGGGAGCCAAGTTATTCTAAAGACGGGTGCCATCCTGTTTCACGTCTAATTATAACTGCTCGTACTGAATAGACTGCTTCCCGGGCTTTGCGGATTTCCACGTTATGGCACCAGCGCAGCAATCATTTTGTTTTAGCCGTTCCTGCCAATAAAAGAATGTTTAATGGTAGAAACAACTGACTGAAAACAGCGAATAGACCGCACACATTACCGTGGGTGTTAAAATGGTTAAAGTTGGGGGAGTCTTAAAAGTTTTAAAAACGTTAATTTGGGCGTAGGTTTAGTTTATCGGCCCTTTTGAAAAACGTGCATGCATTGACACCACTAAAACGCCTCGTAGTACAGGCTTTTTGCCTTAACAGTTGCGTCGTACTTTATATTCTTCCCAACCACACACAAAAATATAAGACGATAATTTGCGAAATCGTCTTATTGAATTCTGCAGTATATCGGCAACTTTTGGAATCGAATAAGATCTGACTTTTTTGGACATAAAGGAGACTCTTCTCATGGTAAAGAGCAGAGAGTGAAGCCTATGCTTAATTTTAAGCAGATACCAGCAATTTGTTCTGTCACATTGATTGAAACGTATGTCCCAATTCCCGATGTCTCTCGTGGTGGTATTTATTTTTTTGCACTCCCTTCTAAGAACGCATGGGATTTTTAACCAAAATGTTTTGTCCTTCAACCGAGTGGCAGTCCAAATTTAACATACATCGTCTTTTAGAGTGCAATGGAATGCTTATTTGCAGGAATACTACAATATAGATACATTAAGGAAACACCGAACATTAACACAGGACAGCCACAGCAACAACATTGTTAAATAACACACAATTTAAATGCAAGTCAGCACACGCAGTGTGCAAAAAACATCAGCGTGAGTCGAAGATAGAGGTATAGAGTATAGAGTTCAATAATCTGACAGTGCAGGGGAAAGCTGTCGCTGTATCTGGACGTACTTGCCTTTATGCTCCTATAACGCTTACCAGAGGGAAGGGGAGACAAAAGTGAGAAACCAGGATGATTGTTATCTTTAGCAATCCTTCCAGCCTTGTAAAAATGTCCACAGCAGAGGGGGGCTAACTCGAAACATGGACTGGGCCAACCTGATCACTCCCTCTAATACCTTCGGGCCAGACAACGAGCTGCTGCCAAACCACATTGAAACGTCTTCTCATACCCCGTATATCAAGTGAAACGCTTAGAGTAGAAATACTACACTAGAAAAGACTGTGCAAACAAGTGGAAACATTGAGGAGATGTGTTTAACGTATTGAAGGTTAACCTGAAATACTGCAATTCTAACTAAAGACCTATTACAGACATGTTATTAATTACCCATGAGAGCAACACAGTTAAAAGAAGGTAGAGACCTTGCTTTATAAGAATGAAATCCTCCAACAGGTCTTTAATTACCCATAAATAAGCAGTAGAGGTTCATCATATTCAAACTGTGTGAGAGAAGGTACTGAAGCCATTTCATAAATATTTACATTCAGTATTCTAGCGTATTACAAGACAAATTGCACAAAATGCAGGGGATGAGGTTCTGTCTTACAACTTTATTCAATTTTAGCCCCATTAAACTTGCAAAGAATGAAAATTGTTTTGTAAACTGAAGAACACCTTGCTGATTTCCCATGTGACATTATTCTGGGTAGAACCATCCTAGGCTTGGATTCCATTAACATCTCAATTGCAGACACTCAAAAATGGAACAACACAAGAACATAAAACAATCT